CACCCCACCCGACACCACCACATACAATACCACACTACACATCATTCCCTCGTCATCACCAGAGCTTGAAATCTTTAGAAATTGTATATTTCATTATGATTTAAAACTTTTTTCCAGGAGCACCAGGCCAGCAGGGAGAAATAGCCAAGTACATCCTCAAGTATGTACCTAGTGTTCTAATAAATAGTTTAGTTATAGACACCTTATAGTAGGTCATGTTGCATCCTGTTATAAATCAATTATATGACTGTATAATCTCTATAGGTGCATGAAGTGCTGTTTTTGTATTTATCAGTAGTTTATTGGTATAATAGACACCTTATAGTAGGTCATGTTGCATCCTGTTATAAATCAATTATATGACTGTATCAATATAATCTCTTTAGGTGCATGAAGTGCTGTTTTTATATTTATCAGTAGTTTATTGGTATTATAGACACCTTATAGTAGGCCATGTTGCACACTGTTATAAATCAATTATATGACTGTATAATCTCTATAGGTGCATGAAGTGTTGTTTTTGGTGTCTGGAAAAATTCCTCAAGTTCCTGAACAAGAATGCGTACATCGAGGTACAATGCCTTAACCTTTTCTTTATTACTTTCCAGATTTTGCTTTATTTCTCATTTATTTCTTTCGTTTCCTTTCCATTCAGATTGCAGTCTACGGGAAAAACTTTTGCGTTTCTGCAAAAAATGCATTTTTCCTGTTAATGAGAAACATTTTGAGGTGAGAGAAAACAAATTTACCCTCTTTATCATTGTGGCCATTATCATCATTACCATCATCATTTTCGTTATCACTGTTGCCGTTATCATCATCAAGGTTAATCGCTGTGTCTTTTGCTACTCAGGGTCGTGGTTCTCGATAAAGTCACAGATTTCATCCTTTTCATTGGACAGCTGTCAATCACATTTGGAATTGGTATGCTTATTGAAATTTAGATGTTTAAATGTAACTTTTTTTTCAAACAATATCGTTTTGAGTACGTTCAGTTCTTCTTTGGAGTAAAATTTCCCAGAGTGCAAGCTTGAGAGAATATTGCATATAAATGAAATTCTTATTTATCTAAAGGCCGGCTTAGACGGTACGATTTTCGCCTACAACTTTCGTATACAACACGCTCCGCCATCCCACAACTCGAGTCGTAGCGACAGACGCGAGCGTGTTGTATACGATAGTTGTAGGCGAAAATCGTACCGTCTAAACCGGCCTTTAGTAATCTCTTCACTCACTCTAGGGACACTGTTATTAATCGAGCCCTGTGTACCATAAATACAATGTCAACAAATTAATATAACAATATTTTGAAATATATATACAGCATGGGTAGCTTGTTTAATTCATTTCAAAAATAAGAATCTATTTATGATATGGCGTTGGTCAAGAAATAACCTGTTTTCTTGGATTTCAGGTGTTGGAAGTTTCTACTGGTTCGAGAGACAAAAGAACTTGAATTATTACCTCGCCCCAGTATTCGTAAGTTAAACGTTGCTTATATGCTTTTCTTACCGCGCGTTTGAACTTCATGCAGCTTGCTGCAGCTTCCTTCATTTTTAATGCGCGTGGTTGAAAAATTGGCGGGGGAAAAAAAAATCATTCCCTGCTTTTTCGAGGCTAACATACATGTGGCTCTCGTTCTATGATGGAATTGGAATTTAGAAGTTCATTTTAGCAAAAATAGCAAAGAAGAAGAGGCTTTTTTGATGAAAGGTTGTCAGAGTTCGTTCGTCATTTTGGTTAAGATTCTGTTGTTCTCCTTCTAGATTATTGTCATTGGTTCGTACGTCGTCTCTGCAGCCTTTTTCAGCGTTTACAGCATGGCTATAGACACCGTATTCCTCTGCTTCTGTAAGTATTTTTATCGGCCCCCCTGGGGTTAAGGTCCCCTTAGTCCCTGAGATCGAGTGGAAATCATTTCATTCAAACTCTCAAATTCTTCTTTTTGAACGGTTTTCGAGTAGCATATATAACATCTGATATGTGATGATCGTATCAAAACCACCAACGCCACTTAACTATAAAAATATACAGCTTAGGCCGTTATGTGACAGCGTGGTACAATCACAAATCACAATAAAAATAACCCTAGTTGAGGGGGACATTGAGGGGGACAAATTCCCGAATTCATCGCATCACCGCTCGAAAAGTCAAAGAAACACCGACACCGCAATAGTTTGAGTCACTTGAGTTTAAGACATAGAATCACTGTTCAATGAGAAATCAAAAAGAACACCGACAAGAACGCCGACAACCCCCATGTACCCCTCCTAGTTCAATGCTGGTTGAAAGCCCAAAGATTGAATTGGAATTATTAGTTGGATTGGAATTTTTTTTCATTTTTGTCATAGTGGAAGACTTGGAGCGTAATGACGGATCAGATGAAAAGCCATACTACATGTCGAAACCTCTAAGGAAAATCTTGGGCAAAAAGAACAAGAAGCCAGAGGATAGCGACTAAAAGAGTTTTGTCATCTCGACAGCAAGTTTCATGTATATCAACTCTTAGCATACCATGATTGCTGCTAGCACTAGGGTTATCCTATCTGCATGTAAACCAACCTTAAAGGAATAGAATCTATTCCTTAGCTCACTCCTCTCCCCATCCATTTTTAATTCAAGTATGCTGATGCACTCGTTAAACTTATAAGGGGACCGTTCATTTTTTACTGAGTGGGGAGGGGAGGAGGGGTGTCATTTAAAACAATCAGGCCCAAGAGGGAGGGGGAGCATGCAAACGAATTTGAGTCGCACAGCACTTTTACTATAAACAGAATAGAAAGCATGGAGGGGTAATTGCCACAACAATAAAAGGTGCTGACACACGGTGCAACATTGCACGCAACATTGCAAGCAACAAATTTGAATCGGGGCGACACACATTGCAACAAAATCACGTAACATCGCTTGTGTCAGCCTGCTATGTTAAGATATTTGGTCAGAAGTTATCAATTTGGTGCAAGCTGATTGGCTGGAAATTTCATAATGTTGCAGGTAATGTTGCAGCCATGTTCATATGATGAAATTTGTTGCGCGCAATGTTGCAAGAGTAGAGCGCGATTCAACTAACTTCAGATTAGTTGCATGCAATGTTGCATGATGACCTCACCGTTAGTAATTTATTCACGCATTTAATATTGCCTTGCACATAGTATTTAACCGAATCCCGTTGATCGGTGAGAAATTTTTCACATTTAGTTACGTATCAGGTTTACTTCGGTGTTCATGAAGTTATTTTACGAACTGATTTAGAAGTTACGTTCTAATTCACTTCGTTCAAACGAACGTAAATTATTTACCCTTTATATTAAGAATAGAAAAGACTGAGACAGTTATATGGTAGGTTGGCTTGCGGACCAAACAAATCAGTGAGCTGAGCACCAAACAATGAAGGGAATAACTGCCTAACATACTCTGCATACCTACGGAAAATACATTTCCTAGAGCAAAGGATTTTTACATTCTTATAATCTATCCTGAATTTTAGTTCAAAAAGTGTGTTTGAATCCTGATCATGAGTTGTATTGTCGTATTGTGTGTGCTTGAGGTTATCCCGTGCGACCACTCGTAAGCGACCACCATAATATGAGCGTGCCAATGGGGGTACCCATGTGTCAGTTAACTACTCATTTTTCGGTCGAATGTCAATTAACTGTTAATTTAACAGTTATAATATGCCCTTTGCAGCTCAGTAATCACGTGCTGATTAATTCACTGAGAGCAGATGAATGAACATCTTGATTCCCATGGGTAAAATATACTGGAGAGCAAACAAACTTTCTACAACCTGTTTCGAGAGAGCGTAATAAAACTGCATTTCGTAACACACTGGATACACATTTCATTCAGCTCTTTTTACAAGTAGCTAAAAAGAATCACCAATTTAAAATAAAAATAAAACGTAACGTGACCTTTAACTGCAAAGGGCCTATTATGAAAATTTTAATTTCTAGTTAGAGTGCAAACATTTACGGATATTTACGGTATTTACGGATTTGCTGGAGATTTCGGCCCGACACCGCTATCCAATGAAGGAAAGGTCAGTCGGCTCCTAGACCGTATGAGATAAACCCATTGATATGACCAGCATGTCCAAAATGTGACATATGGATGATAGATAATCATCTACTCCTTTCCATGTGGGATGCGTTTAAAAAATCTTGCCGCAGCTATTTATCATGCAATGCATCATGGTAAATAGCACTTGTTCTCAGTCTTCACTCGGCTTCCGCCCTTAAGATCTGTTGATCGCTCGAAGTATTGTCTTGAGTTGAGGTTTCTTTGTTTCTTGCGAAGTGAATACTCCGGTACTTCTTATTCGATACACGAGACGACGTAGACGAAGCCAATAAAGATGATTCTCTGAAACGACAGCACAGAACTGCGACAATCTCTCGCTGGACGGTAGAGCTGTGGAAAGCATGGATAGTTGGAGTAAGGACAGCACTCGCATAAAACAACATTGCGACTATCGATAAGGCAATGAAATGCCTGTGCAACGGCATCACGTCACGTGGTTTGAAAGAATACAAAAGAACCACTACGACCCAAGGACCGTCCGTGATCAAAAAGGTCAGCACCACTAGTATGAGCATGCGCACTGCACGCAGCTTTGCCTTGGCGGCCGTTCCCTTAGCATCGGAGGTCCGGCTTCTTTGCCACAGCCGCTGGACCACTTTACCGTAGGCAACTAGGATCAAAATCAGTGGAAGTACGAATGCGAAAAGAAAGAAGATCGAGAAAGATATTTGTCCTTTTAGCTTGGGAGGAATGTCACATACGCGTAACGGTAAAATACACGTTGTAGTGTTATCAACAAAAGTTGAATTGAATCCCGTTGTGTTACCACTACTTCCGATCTCCGTGGCGTTACTACCTGTCACGTCATGAGGAATGTGATGGTTATTTAGATACTTCCACTTCAGCACGGGTGCGGGTGGTTTAGCTGAATGAGTAGTCAAATTAAACTTTCCTTCCAAAACAGCCCGGGTACTAAAATCCATGGATAGAACACGCATTTCGACACTATAAAGAAAAGGCGCAGAAAGGGCAATGGCTGTAAACCATACAACCGCAAGAGCTGTGAACTTTCGTTCCTCCATCATGATTCCTTTGAGGGGGGTCACGATATTTGTATAGCGGTCGAAAGCAATGGCGGCAAGAAGGCCAAATATGACAGCCACGCATGTGCAGATACTGAATACGAGTATCTTACAAGGAATGTTCGTTTTGACTTGAGCCATGCTTATGATCACCATCAAGGGCAATAAAATCATCCAGAGGACGAGCTCAGTCAGTGAGAGGTTAAACAGAAAGAAGTTTGAGAGGCTTTTCTTAACTTTCCTTCGTCTTACCATCACGAAACAAATAAGGAAGTTGATGATGAGACCAAGGAGGAGAAGAATTCCTTGAATGCTGCTGAAGACATACCGGGTCACTGTCATGGCTTGTTTGTCGGGGAAACCTCGACTGCGTCTTCCGTATTCCATGGCCTCTGATGAGCAGTATTCGTCGTAGGACATGACGTTAACTTCTATGGAAGAGAGATGTTCAGTTAATTAGCACTAATTGTCTTACTATTCTCACAAGGGAATACAAATTTGAACAAGAAAAGAAAATTCGCCAAGCATTTTGGTTGTGGTAGTAAAATGACGCCATCATGCAAACTGCCTCTTGGTATTTCCATGACATGACATTTATGACATGAATTCCCTAATATCTCCTCTCTCCCCTCCTCTCTCCTCTCTCAGTCTCCTCTCTCAGTCTCCTCTCCCCTTTCTCAGTCTCCTCTCTCCTCTCTCAGTCTCCAGTCTCCTCTCTCCTCTCTCCTCTCTCCT